AGACTGTTCCCACTGCACCAGCAGTGTATGCAGATTACTCTGTAGACACATCCACCATCTACTCATGAATCCTATTTTCCTTTTGTGAACAGGAGATTGTGTGCTAACCTTTATGCATGGTTAGCAAAATGTGAACCTTTTAGAAAAAGAGTGTAACAGTTACGAATTCATTGCATAGCAAGAATGTGACACCTAGTGGATAGATGACACTGAGGAAATGTGACGGTCCTGTCAAGGAATATTGATGTCCAATGACCCTATCCAGTAAAACAATGAATTTGATACCAGAATAGACATTGATCTTGAATGACTCTATGCACAGGGCCAAAGTAATTTGATAATGGCAAGTCCCCACTGAAAGCTCAGAAGTGATGAAGGTGTCAGGGATTGTTTTAAAAGGCATTTTTGTAAACCACTGGCAGAATGAAGATGTCAGGCTGAGGCAGCCAAAGGGCTCCTAAAAGACAGGGACCAAAGCCCATGAAGACATTGTGGATACTCATGAGATGCATTGGAAGTAGAGACTCACAACATGCAAATCACAAGAATAAAGAGTGTCTTAAAAACGCCTTTTTTTAAACCCGTGCCTCTGTTATTGCCACATTCTCTCTTTAGGAAATGTGAGTTTTCACAGTCAGAGACGCTCAGTGATGAATAACTATACGGTTAGGCCACCAAGAGCTGGGCAAAACTGAGACACCAGCTAAGAACTCTGACTAAGACATTCTGCCCAAGCTAGCTGATACAGACCGTGTCTGTCTGCTACTCCTCACCACAGCCTGTAGTACCTGAATTTCAAGTATTCACATTCCCCATTTTCCGGGGTGTCCTAATCCATCACTGCTTCACTGGCTGTAAGTAATAGAAAAACTCATCACCAGAAACTGATATTTTATACTGGCTGCAGAACACAAACTAACCTTTTCACTGTAAAATTTACAAATTTTAAATCTGTGTGTATTTCCAAATATGCCGAGAAGTGCATGCTGAATAATAGCCCATTGCTAGAGGAGGGATAAAGCTTACCCTCTGGCAGTGGTTGTGTTCTGTATGGGGTCTATACCCTAACACTGGGGGCTTTTCCTACAGTTAGTTCCCAGTTCCAGTGGATAAGCCGCCAAGATGAAGTTTCCTTGCGGCCAGCTGGTTTGCACCAGTCTCATTTTACCTGGTAAGCCAGCCTGAATCCCCTCTTGGTAGCCCAGAGCCATCTGCTGTTGGGCAACGTGGTGTGGGCCTGCTGGGCATGAACCACAGGGGCAGACGCAGCGCAACTCCCACCCGGTGCCTTTCAAACCGCGAGGAACAGTTTCTGTAACTGTTCTAGATCTGTATGCACTGTTCACACCTAATTTGCGAGAAACACTGAAGGCCCTAATATTGTCCAAACCAAAAAACCATTCTGAGAACTTGGTTTAAAACAGCCCCCCCAAGCCCAGCAGGGGAGCGTGCTTTGCCAGCCAGCCTCTTCCTCAGCCCTCTGACTCGGCAGTCACTGTGCTCTTCTCAGCTACGAATGGACACGTGGAATTATATTCTCTGTTGACGCAGAAGTCACGGACACTGCACACGATCATTGTGATCAAGCAAATGCCAATTTATTGTTGATACATCCTGGTTAACATAGCTCTTCTACTTTCTTATCATGTACAAGCTCCTAACTAATTGGTTAACTATATCTGCACGCGCGCTCTTAGCTACGATACGATTCGTTAAAGTCTCTCGTCCACGCGCACGGTCCTCTCCACCTGCGCCCTGCTTTGCTTTCTGATCTCAGTCACGTACGCCAACTTTTCTTCTCCTTCTCAAGGTTGTTCTCATCATTTTCTGACCGCAGGCGGCTCCCACAATGTCATTGAGGCTTACTGCTCGCAAACGCAACAGGTGCCTTCGGTCTGGATTGTTCACTAAGTCTCCTTGATTCTTCAGCTATGCCACAATTCTCTACAAAAACCTGGGTATCAAAACACAAAGGTGTCCTCTTTTGCCTGCAGAAAATGACCTTTAGGCGTAAAATGAATCCAGCTGAAGTGCAGGGGTTTTTAGCTCAAGCTCCAGCAGGAGATTTGGCCTGAGAGGAGACAGCACGGGAAGGGAAAGGTGTAAGAAAAGTATTTTGAAAGCATGATGGCGGAAGGGACAGACGGATGCCGCCGGGCGCCCCCGCCCCCGGCCCCCGGCCG